AAAAAAAAAAAATCACAATAGCCACAGGACGGCTTTCCATCTCATTAACTCCCTCACTTATTATTTTCATGAAAATTACTGATAAAAAACGTGCATCTCCATTTGCTGGGACCGGGAGCTTCGTCGGCTCATATCTAACATCTCTCTCATCACCGGGATGCGAGCTGTTGCCATGGCGACGCACAATAATAGAAACTAATAAATTACAAACGAGATGCTCGTTGAGCAATTATTGTTCTCTTTTATGCAAGTGTCTTGCTAATTTTGATCATAAGGAATGCTACCATAAAGCAGCGAAGGGATAATAAGTCCATTTCTAGAGATTATTAGAAAATAGAGAGAGGCCGGGTTTTTTTAGATCAATGATTAAGTGGTTTGGTGCTTTCAGGAAACCCAAATAAGAAATAAAACTTTTTGGGGGGCTTTTCCCTCCCCACGCTGAGGGAAGAAAGTGGCCACAAGCGTCATGTTGGAAGCTTCAAACTCTGCAGCACTTGGAGCTGAGCTGCTAAAATCGCATTTTTTTTCCTTTCCACCACCCTAAAAATGCCCTGAAAAGCCCTAAAAAAGCCACCACCACCTGCCTTCTTTCGGGGGATAGCTCCAAGAGCTGCCTGGGGACACCCTGGCTTATTTTGAGTTGGCTGCAGTTATTTCTGGTGGGATTGTGCAACCCCAAATTTCATTTTCCCCAAAAAAAATCCAGTATCTGAGAGAGGGAAATCCATAAGGGACATACAACGTTGCATCAAGGAAGTTTTTTGGGATGCAACCAGCCAACATTTATTCCCTGCACTGCAAATGCACATGAAAACCCCAACCCATGGGCAACTTTTTTTCCAAATATTAAGTTAAAATCCCTTATTTTGCCCCAAAAGCCACCAAGGTGCAGCTTGGTTTGGCCATTTCAATTGATATTTCTGCAATTCTGGGGCATCTCCTTGTACTTTCCCATTGTGCTTGAGGCACCAAATGTTTCCTTCTCCCAGCTAAAACCCAAATTACACAGAAAAAGAAGTCAAGGTGGGAATGTTGATCATGCTGGGGGAGAACTGCAAGATGTACCAGGGCAAAAAAGGAGCAGCGAAGCCATAAAGGGTTACCTGAGACCCAAAAATCTGTTCAGCTGCCTTGAAACAAAGACAAGAACAGGGAGAGGAGGAAGTGGTAGAGAAAATCATGGTGCTTCTGTCCCTCCCGCCAACAAATAGTATTTTTTCATGAAAAAATGCAAATTTCTTGTCCATTTGGCCATGTGCTTGCACGGCTTCTGCAATTCCTTCCCCTCACATTTCACTGCTGCAACATGAGTTTAGGAGAAGCCCTCATCTCTCCCTTTTGCTGAGACACAAACATTGGGGTTGCAGCTCTGCCAACCCCATGAAAAGAAAGGCCATGGAAAAAACATTAAAAAAAAGAAAAAAAATCACCGCAGCATCATTTATTGCACCATACGAGCAAGATATGGGCTATTTTAAATTATTTTCCTCAACTGGGGATGGGTTTTGATGCATTTCCAGGAGGCCACAAGAGCTGTAGAGCAACCCCCCAACGTCATTGGCCCAACATGCCCATTGGCCAACGTGCAATGATGATGATTACCGGTGATTTTTAAGGCGTTACCTGGGGGTGGAGGCTGATGGAGGAGGGGTTGGGGGAGTAGGGCCCCCCCAGGTCGTTCCTGAGTAGGTTGTCGCTGTGCATCTTGGTTTTGAGGCAGGTGATGTAGCGGTTGCAAAAGTCCTTGCACAACTCGTTGACCTTCTCCAGCTCCAGGAGGTGGATGCGCAGCACCTGGATCGCCTTCACCATCTACGCAAGGACACAATGGCAGAGTTAAAATCATTTTTTTCCTCAACGCATCAGAAAAAAACCCCAAAAAACCAACATTCTCACCCAAAATCTAACCTGGAACCGATCCCTACAGCAGAATTAAACGCATTTCCTTTCTCAACACACCAAAGAAAGCCACAAATTCAGTATTCTTGCCCAAAACCCATCCCAGAGCCCATCCCTCTGCACCTCCACACTTCTTTTCTCTCCCCATCAGTCATATCTCTGAAATCCCAAGAAGCCAAAATTCACAAAAATTACCGTTGCCTTCATGGGAATTGCTCCGTGTGCCCCAAAAAAGTCCAAGCCAAAGCCCTGGTTGTCGAAAAGTGTTTGGTTATTCTCTGGAGGCCACTTCTTCTAACAAGATTATGGGGCTGCAACTCTGCCATAAGCTGTTACCGGTGCAAAGCCTGGGCCTCATTAAAACGTACCCCATAAACGTTAAAAAATTTACACATAAAACATTCCTCTCGCCAAGCTGAAACCTTAAGTTTTACAGCCGCTGTTTGAAATCTTGCATAATATATAAAATTTCAGCTATTCACTCCGGGGCAATAAATCCAGTTTTATGTAACAAAGCGTCTTTGCATTTCAAAGGGTGTTTTTAACTTGCAAATTTTAGTGGTCATCTTTACAAACTGCGAGTCACCACGGTTGGGAAACATCCCGAAAAATCCAGGGCCAAACTCGGGTGGCGGCTCAACGACGGAGAAAGCGAATTTTTGTTTGGCAAACAACGACGATGATGGGTTGTAGCTGGAAAAATTCTCTTTCTTTGCTTTTTTTTGGCTTTTTTGGTTTTTTTTTCCCCCCTCCTCCGCAGTTGGTGTAGGCAAAGCGCAAGGTGGAGGCGTCGCGCCCTGGCTCTCCACATCCTCCCAGGGCTCAATGGCCATGAAAGTCAATATTCAAGGGCAAAGGCAAGAAGACCTGACACATATATGTATAAAAAATAAATCTCTCAATTATCTCAGCTCATTTGCTTAGGGTCTCATTTTATGTCCCTGCTCCGCTGCGCCGTATATCTGTCCGGATAAAGAGTTACAGTCCAACGGCGTACGTGCGCGGGGTTGTAAAAAATACAGATGCTGAATTAATTGACTGTGTGGCACTCGGCAGCTGATTGAGTTGATAATGGTGAGATCTGACCTTTTTCTAATTTCTAATTATGTGCATCTCGGCGGTGAGGAACACATGACTCTTATTCTAATGATAGCTAATGCTGCTGGCCTTTTCATCCCTGCTTTGCCATCACCAATTTCTGGGGAATCGGTGGCGTTAAAAAAAAACCAAAACAAACCAACAAAAAATAACCAATAAAAAAGGACAATGCAAAAAGGGAAAAAGTGTCAGCTCAGGAACAGGTGGAAATGTTGAGTTTTGAGCACCGCAAGACTTCTTCAACCGAAATTCCCTCCAGTTGGCGCCTCCCACCAACAGGAACGGTCCTTCTTCAGCATCACATTAACCATCTCTTCTGTCTTGATGGAGGCCAACCACACTGAGCAACCTGGATGGCTTTTGGAGAAGTTCTGGGCATTGGGTAGAATAGATACATACAGATACGTCCTAAAAATAGGGCAAAAGTACATATATATATATATGAATATGAATATATCCAGTGCTGCAAGATCATACATGGGATCAATGCAACTGCCCATGGCCAAATTCCACCTCAGCAGAAAGAGTTGCTCCAAAACATGCCCAAAAACCGTGATTGGTGCGGGTTTTTTTAAGAAACCACCAAAAAACCCCAGTGAAAATGGCCTCTGTGGACGTACCTCCTGCACTGACCATTTGCTGGAGATGTTTCACCTTGATATGTGTAGGAATAGGTTTTCCTGCCCCAAAATTTTAGATTTTTTTTTTTTAGCTTCAGCTGGCTTCATCTCTCTCCTCTTGCTAGATCATTGCACCCATTTCTACGTAATTTAATGTGATGGGGTTTTTTTTGGTGCACCTCAACATTTGATGCATGTTCAGTCCCAAAACTGAAATAATCCAAAACATTGCTTTTTTTGGTTGCTCGTCCCAGAGCGATTTCCGTTCTTGGCCATAAGACATTGCAAAATGGGTTTAGTAATCTGCAAACAGGGCTTTGCATGGCCTGTAATTTTTTTGGAGGGCTTTCCACAGACTCCTAAGCCACTCTTGATTTAGGGATGTCGCAAAACTCTCCTCCATGAGCTGAAAAGATGCGGGATTTTAATCCATCTTGAAACTGTTTCTTGCATTTTTAGGAAAGCAGTAGTGTTTGCACTTGGACGAGCATTGCTCCTTTTTCTTCCCTTTGTGACAGGTTGTTGGACAAACTCACCTCCTTGATATCTCCAATATTTGGAAAAAGCTGCCTGTGAATTGCCCGATTTTGCTTCTTTTCTGGGATGGAAATCCCTCTGCGACACATCCCAGGGGACACTCCATCCCTCGGGGAAGCTGTTTTGCTCTTTGCATCATCAGAAGTGGGCGAAATTGCCTCTTTTGACCTTAAAAATCTGCTTGCGGAGCGCTGGGAGGGTGCACCAGGATGGTGCCATGGACCTGTCCACCCACACGCTTGCCATGGGGACCACATGTAGAGGCTTCCTGGACAAAATAATGGGATTTGAGGATGTTTCCTGAGGTCCCTGCAAGAGAAAAGCTCCACCCCAAGCAGAGTCTTCTGAGGCACCTTCCAGCAGCAATGGGTACGGTAGGAAATTTGGGTTGCTATGACAGGGAAGCCACCAAAAACGGTCCAAAGTGTCCCAAACCATTGATATGCATCACCCTTTTTGGAAAAAGCTCTTATTTTGCCTTGTTTCTAGGACAAGAGCTGGCCATCACACTTGAAACAAGATGGTGGCAGACAAGAACGCAGATGCTATTGCATGTTGCACCGAAGAGCAGTAATTCCTGCAGAGATTGCAAGTTTTGGGGCACAAAACAGCCATCAGTCTTGGCTGTTCCCAGGAAATGCGTTGACCCCATGGCGTTTGTGTGGGCAAACTAGCCAAAAATTGGACAGGGGTTTGTTCCTACAGGCAATCTTATGGAAAAGGTCTCAGAGAAGGTCCTGGAGAAGGTCTCACAAGGTCTGTGGAGAACATTGCCAAGATGGCCAACACTACAAACTGAGCTCCAAGACGTTGCCCAAGGTGGTAGGTCTCCATAATTCGTTCCTCATCCCCTACTGTCTCCCCACCCCCCAAAAACCATCTGTCAAGCCCCGGATGCCTCTACCAGGTTGTCCAGCTCGGGGTCATCGCTGAAGAAGGGCTTGTGCTCCTGCTCCTGCTGGTGGACGAAGTTCTCGATGTCAACGTCGAAGCTGGCCGAGGTGATGCACTCGGAACCCTGCGTCGCCTGCTCGCACTTCTCAAAGAGCAGAGTCAGCAGCGGGAACAGCGGGTGCCTGCAGAGGACAAAGGAGACCCCCCCATAACACCCACTGTTTCAGGTCCCATGTCCATTTTTACCCCACACATCCATTCCCTCCCAGCTTGCAAGAGCCTGGTGATGCAAACCTCACTCCCAAGCCAATGCTGGAAGTGCTCCCTCTAGACCTTTTCCAACCACAACAAAAAGCTTAAAAATTGCAAAATTCACCATCTTCTCCACCAGGAGATGACCTCTCCCAACGTCTTGGTGCTTTCCATCATTGCACCAAAGCTGGCATTTCCAAAATGTTTTGCCATGGGCAAAAAGGTTTGGCTTCGGGGTGGTTGTCTTGGAGTCATCTGCTGTCCTTGTGGCTTTGCATTTTGGGGATCAACATCAGCACCCGCTCATCGATGGTAGTATTTTACCCCAAAATGTCTCTCTTGGTTGGAGACACCAGATGGGGATGAGCTGATATTTCTACGTGCCTGCAGCACCCTTATGGACCGACCTTGCCATGGGTTGCTCCTCCACCAGGAGGTCTCTTTGCACCTCTGTCAAGCACATCCATGTCCGTCCACGAAGACGGGTCAAATCCCACTTCTTTCTTACCACAAGATGATTCTTAGAAAACAAAGATTTGCAATTCTTCTTGCAAATCCACGATTCGCTCTAAGGATTAGAAAACAGGCTTGCAATTCTTGCAAATCCACAATCTGCTCTAATGATGATGCCTAAATCGATCCAGTATGAAATGCAAAAATACATACAGCACCAAAGCACGTGGAGAAGAAGGGGATGAAGACCATGAGCTAGCGCAACCCTCAATGAGCCTCTCCAGCTGTGCAAATTGGGGAAAAAAAAAAAAAGAAAGTATTTACGGAGTCTTTCAGGGGAGAAATGCAAAACGCTGTTCCAGGGATGGTCTCCCCCAGCACCCCGGTTATCGAGCCCCCCCCAGCTGTGCAAATTGGGGAAAAAAAAAAAAAAGAAAGTATTTACGGAGTCTTTCAGGGGAGAAATGCAAAATGCTGCTCCAGGGATGGTCTCCCCCAGCACCCCGGTTATCCCAGCACAATGGGATTTGCTCCACCATTTCATCTCCAAAAGATGGCCCAAAAGATGATTATGAATCACTTCCCGCTGGTCTTTTCCGAGCCGGAGTCAGGCGAAGGGGTTAAACCCCTTGGCTAAGTCTTCATTTGCAGCCGCTAATACCGCAGCATATTATAGTTTAATCTGTCCTGATCCCGGTTTAATGCAAGATTCATCGAGGCTGGAGCGGAGAACGGAGGGGGGG